AAAGCTGATCTTAGCCACCCAAACTGCTGCCTTGCAAGTGCCATCTATGGAAAAGCTCTTGCGAAGAGGTGCATGTGAAACCTTTGTGACTGTAGTACGAGTTTCGAACCAGATGTGGGTGGTGAATTAAACCCTGCCTCTGAACGTGGTACAGGGGAGCAGACCTGCAGATCAAAGCAGCCCTGCTTTGCTGTTCATGGAGGTCATCACCTAATAGGCAGAGGTGTGGGCTGAAGTTTCCATCGCAGCCAAGGCTGTTTCACACTGGTGTTGCACAAGCAGTAGCAGTATAGCCTGCAGAAGGGTGATGGGATGGGCTAAATCATAGCAGTACATTCTTTACTATAAGGGTATATAATATTCCCCATTTCTTATGCTGTCCCTTAAGCATTGGAGGAAACAAGCCATAATTGCTGCATAAACACCTTGTTTGCTTTGAGCTGGCTGCTTGTGCTGGTGCTGAGAACTTGGGTTGTGCCATAGTTGGACTCTTCAAATGAGCACATTGGACACCTAGATTTGAACTTGGATGGTCTTAAGGCCCTTTCCAACCCTAACCATGGTAGGATTCTACTGGAATTGAGTGGAAATCACTTGTGTACCTTCCCAGAAACATTATTAACCGTTCCCATAGGAGTGTGAGATCCATTAGGAAAATGCTCTGTAAAGCATAGAACAGAAAGAAGCTGGTTTCTGTCAATGATGGACCCCAGAGGACTGGTGTACCTGCTATGGAGATGGGGCTGCTGATTTAGGAACGGGTTTGTTTGTTTCCAAGCTGCTTGCAGGAGTCTTGGGGGATGTTAGATGATGTGCACTGGCACAGTTGGCTGTCATGATGCTAATTGCTTTAGGAAAAGGGAAACATTTACCTGTGTGTAGAACCGTATAGATCTGCAGGGTGTATTTGTTTAATGCGCTCCCTTGAGGCTATGCGTGGTCTAATGAGCCTTCTGATGGGATTTGAATGGAAGCAGACCAGAACCAACAAAGGAGGTTGTTGCGGCTCTGTCAGGCTTGAGAAATGATTTCTATGCAGCCAGGCCTGTGTAGAACAGCTTTTAATGAAGATGTGAACTCTAATAGTTCAGTATGGAAGCATCATGAAGCCAACCACAGCCTTGCTCTATGGCACATGCTCAGTTTGCTGAATGAGGTGCTGCAGGACAAGAATGATTTCTCCTCAGCCAACATGGAATAGCTTATTTCCATCTCTCTAGGAAAGCCTGTCCTCTGGTTTACCTTCTTTCCCCCCCAGGAGGTGTTGGTAATGCCATGCCATGCTGTGCAAGCACCTTGCTGTGGGTTTGTGCTGCTATAACCCCATGTTACAGCATCAGCTATGTAGGGAGAGCTTAGTGGGATTCGTTTGCTGTATAGAACTGAGTGTTTCTGAGTGCAAACACAACCAACTGATGCATCTTTATAAAGGGATAAGAAGGTCTGGGATACTTTAAGCAGCTCTGAAGGTTTCTTCCTATGTGCCAAATAGGAAACTCATCCTTGCCAAGCACTGCATTGCCCCAGGTTACTCCTGCTCGCACAAGTCACCCTTCTCCTTTCTGTGCTCAAAGAATCCTCAGTGCTTGGCTGCATCCAGAGGCAGGCTCCACATCCCACATCCTGCCCTTCATCACTGTGGTGGGATGCAGCGTGACTCTAACTGGGGAACCAGGGGTCCATCTACCCTGTACCAACAGCGTCTTTAACACTGCCCCTTGCTCCTGGCTGCTGTTGAGGGGCTGTAGCATAGCAGAAAGGAGGCCTGGTGGTTGTTGGTCCCTTCCTCCTCCTTTTCCAGTTTGAAACCACCTCAGCTTGCTGGGCTGGAGCTGTGTTGCACCAGACCGAACACACACACAGCTGTAGGCGTTGTGTCTCTTGAGCCACGTTTGCTTTGATCCTCTCCAAGCCTAACAAAGGCAAGTTTTACCATTGCAAACACTCCACGTTTTCATGCAAGGTTGGGCTGAATTGGGCTTCAGACCCAGGGACCAGGGGATGCAGTGGGTGGGCACTTGGCAGGATGCTCATTGTGCCTTCCATGAGAGAAGGGGGAAAGAAAAGGTGACGTGGAATAAGTTGCTCCCATCTCCATTGGGACCTCACTCAGGAGCTTTATCCTTTACCTATAGGTTAAAGGATTCTATTGCCTCAGCATCTGAATCATTTGTGAAGTATCATTTCAGGTACAGTGCCTTTTATCCATGGGATGTTTGCTGGAGCTGTTTGGAATACAGGGATTCCCAGCGAGGCTTTAAAACTGCTTTGGTTTATAGGTTGCTGAGGGTGTTGCTCAACTATTTGTTCTGTTTTATCCCAAGACAGGGAGCACAAGGATGCATTCCAACAGAAGAAAGCATTCCTGCTCATGTTCGGGAGGAAATGAGTAATCCCCTATGGAAGCGATGACTCTTAGTAATTAAAGAGAAATTATTGAATAATGTTATACATAGGGAAAGGTTTCCTTTTCCAGAGCTCCTGCTGGAATGTTGCTCCCACCCAAGGGCCTGGTTTGAAGCTGGAGATCCCTATATGTGATTTACCTGGATTTGAGCAGCTGTGCCACCACCATTGCTTGGTACCCACAGGGTTGGGAAGGGTCTGTGGCCATTGCATCAGTCAGATGCATGGATGGGGGATGGATGGCATCTGCCTTTGGTGTAAGTGGGTAGATCCCACATGGAGAAACCAATCTGCCTTTGCCTGACCTGTGCCCAGATCTGCTTGTGCTGGCCCCTGAGTGCTTGAGTAGGGCTGTGCCTTGGTGTGCAAGAGGCTTTGGTGCCATGGGGAGCATAGGGATGCGAGAGCTGGTGATGAGCTGCTGCAGTGTGAGGAGTTCAGAGCTGGAGATGGTGTTTCGAGGGGCTGTCTGCAAGGAAAGGGTTGTTGAGGGCTCACCACGTTGCTGACTGCCACCCCTATGGCACCTTTATGGGTTACAGGTGTCTTACAATGGGCTTTCTGGTGCTCTCAAGGCTACCAGACCTTTCTGCTTCTGAGCTCCCTGCCAGCACTATCCTCCTTTAGCTGAGCTGGGGCTTAGCACTGCAGCACTAGTCTCTCCATCTTCCCTCTGTCTGTTTAAACCCAATTCCTCTGTGTAGCCTTGGCTCCTGTAGGGCACTTGCAGGTGGCTTTGCAGTTGAGTGGTTGCCTCAGTGACCAAGCGCAGTGATGCTTGGTGTGATATTAATGATGCACTTGTCTTTCCCCTGTGCTTGGAGATACAGTTTCATAGAAACATGGAATGGTTTGGGTTGGAAGGGACCCTAAAGCTCATCCAGTTCCAACCCCTTGCCATGGGCAGGGACTGGATGAGGTTTCATGTCCCTTCCAACCCAGTCTGGGATTCTCAGAACCCATGTGTGCTCACAGCTATGGGTACAGGCTGCTGAAGCTCCCATCCCACTGTTACACCAGAGATAACCTTAGGTTTCAAACTGCCTGCTGGCTAGGATGATTGTGCTGGCTTTATTGCCATGAGGCATTCAGTGGAAGCATTACAAGTGGCCTTTGGCAGCTTCGTGTTGTCCCTGAGCTCCATTAAGCTCCATTAGGAGCATCCATTCGGATGCTGGTAGCAGTTTTGTGGCACAGATAAGTGCTGGCCCTGCAGAGTGCGTTTATGAAAGGGTGTCACTTTTGTGATGTCAGGAATACAAGGTTTGGAAACGTTGGGATTCCTGTTTACCATCTGTTTCCATGGCTCTTCCCTAATATCCTTCTCCTCCTCCAGAACTCAAGGCTCTTTAATCACAACTGTTTGGCTTGTGGTGGGAGGGAGGAAATCCCAAACTGTGGAGGAGATGGTGACATTTCTTGCCCTTTTCTATGTGCTTCTCAGAGACAAACACAGTCATGAGTGTGTGTGTGCTTGTGTTTGAGGGTTGTCTTTGGGTGTATTTCCTAATGCAAGGTGGTGCGTTCCTCTGCAGCGATTGAACTTGCAACCCCTTTGGGGCAGGACGTTGGGTTTGCTCATCCCATCCACAGTGCCCAAGCTCCCAAATGCATCCAGAGATGCTTCTTTGAGGACCTGTTTGGCTTAGAAAGCTGCAGTGTTGAGCGCAGGGGCTCCTACACCATCGCCCTTTACTCATAAGGGACATTTGAGGGTGCAGCCTGTTCTCTGTTAGTTATGGCTCATCTTCTCCTCTTTCCTCATGGAAAATATGACAGCATCCCATGCAGGGACGTCAGCGGGAGCGTGATCTAAAACTGAGCAATGCTTTCAGTGCTGAGGGACTCTCGCTTTGGGTGACTTGAGATGACTCAAAAGAGCCTGGCCTTTAGAAAGTGGGTTTTCAGAGGCTTCTATAAAACGAAGCCATAAAGCTGGTGCCACATGGGAAATCATTGGTCTGGTATGCACTGAGTGTGCATTAAAGTGCCAGTTCTTGTGATTCCATCATGAAAGCTTGATCAAGACTGATAGCATCAGAAATGACACTTGAAGTACAAAGGTTGCATTAAAGCAGCACACAGTATGATGAAATGCTTTTCCCCTTAGGGTGAGCTGTCTCTTTTTCCCTTCTCTGCTGTGTCCTGTTCATCATCCAGCAGCGTTTCCTTTGCTTTGGGACCATTGCTGGTCCTGTGAGGAGAATCCTGGCATGGTTTGGGTTGGAAGGGACCTTAAAGCTCCAACCCTTGCCACGGGCAGGGACACCTTCCACTAGAGCAGGTTGTTGTACCAAATGGGAGAGACCAGAGGCTTGAGCCTTGGGTTCTTGCTGGGGAGAACAGGAGGTTTTAGTGCCACTGATATTGGAGCTTCTGGGTTTATCAGTCATAAAGTGTGCTGGGAAACCCTTAAAGAAAGGCCTTAAGTGCCCCCAGGGATGCAGGTCTTGGGTCCAGGTCGTTTGCCAATGGATATGAGCATGGAAGTTACTGGGGGGTTGGTGCTGGCTGATCTTCAGGTCCTTTCCAACCCAACCCGTCCCATGATCCTATCTAAACCCCCTTTCACGTGTCACGTTTGCCCTTTGCAGGTGGTTTCATCCCAACATCAGCGGAATTGAGGCCGAGAAGCTGCTCCTGACCAGGGGTGTCCATGGCAGCTTTCTGGCTCGACCCAGTAAGAGCAACCCAGGAGACTTCACTCTCTCTGTCAGGTAAGCACAGGGGAAGGGGCTGTCCCGAGTGCTCCAGCACAGTCTGCTCTGATGGATGATGTGCAATGGGAGTGGAGCTGCGCAGAGATGTGGTACCACTCGACGTAAAAGGGTGCTGGAACAACAAGGATGTGCTAAAAGCCAAGCACTGCTTCCCCCTGGTTCCTTCATCCCTGTGCTGCCAGGGGTCAGTTCTGTGCTTATGGATGCGTTGCCAGAGGGAGGAAGATAACAAACCCACTTCTATTTTGTGGAAATGTGTTCAATCCCAGCAGGAATGAATCATCTCACTCCCATTTCAAAGGAACTTAATGCAGCTGCCTGCGCGAGAGCGTTGCTTTCTGTGTCTGTAAGGGGTCTCAGGAGCAGCTCCAGAAGAGGCTGAGCTTGCCGACCAGCCCCAGGGTGGCTGTGTCAGACAGCATCATGTGCATCACCTTTAAAGTGCTCCTGTGTCCTTTGGGATCAAGGGTGGCTGTGGAAAGGAGAATTACCCACGGTTATTGTAGCCCCTTATGATGCTATGGGGCAGACGCAGTGGGCAGAGCACTCTGAAGGAGAACTGGAGAGGCAAAAGGTTGCACTGACCCCATGTGGGTTCGACAGGAACCTTCCACGCAGGGAAACACCAAAGGTTTCTCCCCATGCTGGTAGCACAGACCCTGGTTTTGGGTGGTTTCTGCTGAATTTAAACAACCCTCGTTTTGTTTAGGGAACTCCAGGGAGTTTGTAAACCCTTTGGCCAAGGCTGTGCTTAGAGAAAGGATGTACAAGGGATGGTGTGGACCCAGCGTTTCCTCCTGGCAGGGCATTGAATCTAACAGGACATAAGCAATTCCAGCGTGGTTTGAGCCTCAAGCCCTCCCCATGCACCTCTCACTGCTGGTCAGAGCACTGTGGTGATGCCAACCGGATCTGGTGAGGCTTTACCCTCTTCTTGTTGCCTTAACCACTGAGATGAAACCCTCCCCAGCCTTATTCCTTCCTCTTTACCATCGTCACCACACTTGGAGCTGTGTTCTTGCTGCCCTCTGTACGTATATAAACTATATAATGATATATATATATATAAACTGGATAATAATACAGTTGTGTCTTAGCAAGAGGAAGGGTTTGCAGCTCCCTTATCTCTTTCAATGCTTCTTTTTGTCTTGGGGAATCCATCCTTTGCCTCTCTTTGGCTCTGACCGACCACAGCTGCTCACCCTATGGAGCAACACAACAGAAGGGAAAACTCCATCTTTCCCCATGCATTGGCTGGGTGGGAGCATGATGTTGCCATCAGAAATAGCTGTGAGATAATGAGAGAGGCAGGAAGTGCTTCTAATTGGGATGGAAAATAAGCTCACAGAGAGCTGCCTTGAGCAAGGCAATATGTGTAACATGGGGGTTATCTTCATGTGAGCTCAGTGTCTCTCTCAGTGTAGCTTTGTGAGTCAGGCTGTTGTCTGATGGTAAAGGGAAGCACTGACAGCACCAGCTTGGCCAGGCAGCGTGCAAGCAGATGCAGCAGTGCCCTGATGTGGAAAGACACCCAGCAAGCAGCACAGTGACCCTGCAATAGCAGGGTGAATGGCTTTGATGGAGAAGCCAGATCCCAGCCCTGCATTGCTGCAGTGATGCTTTGTGCTGTGTGGTCCATGTTCTTCCCTTCCCTCTGCCCTTGTTCCTCAGCCAGTGGTGATGTGTGTTTCTGCTGTTGTCATCTTCCACCTTTCCTGGTCCATTCCCAACTGGGCATCCCATGGAACAGCTCCATTCTTCTGGCCATAAGATCAAGCTAATTCATGCCCTGACTGCATCTGTGATGCCCTGCGGTATTGAGCTGCCAGTTAAGAGCAGAGCCTTGCTATCACAGTATTGATCAATACCCACCACAACCCACTGGCTGGTTGTAACCCAGTGGAAAGTCTGACCAAGTAACCCAAAGCTCTGACCCATCCCATGCTTCCAGGAAAGCACATGAAACACAACACACGAGCAGCGTGTTGAGCTTTGAGGCATCCTGAGTTGAAGATGAGGAAAGAATTCTTCCATTCACTCCTTTGACCTGCAAGTCCTTGCTCCTTCTTGGCGCATCCCATCTCTATCCCATGATTTGGAATGTTTGGCTATGGAAAACTTGCCTGGACATGGCCACTATCCAATAGAGCAGTTTTGCTTATACCTCTTCTAAGTGATATGCTCTTCTCGCACTGATGATGGCAAAACATGTACATAAATGCTGTTGGGAATTAGAGCTGCAACACTTAATGGAGTAGAAAATGAGTGGCTTTGTGCTGTGAAAGCCTGGGCTGATGTCATTCCCCTATGTTCTTTCCCCTGCTACATTACACATATAGATGGAACAGCGTGTTATTATCCTCACCTAGGATTATATCCTGAAAGAGCTTTATTTTACCTCTGAACTGGACAGGTCTCTGTAGTTTTCCCCTTTCTGGGAAATAAAAGGTTTTCAAAGGAAACATCACAGATGTCTTTGACAAAGTACCTAAATAAAGGTGTCAGGAGGAGAAAGCACCTTGAGGAAAACAACCAAAACCTTTTCCTCCTCCTTTCAACCCCCTTTTAGCTTCTGCAAGGCTTTTTGAACAGCAGCGAGGGGAAATGCAGCTCCTTTTAATCACAGAGAGGATGTGGGCTGAGCAGAAAGCAGGCGATGGAGTTTGGGCTGACCAGACCACACAGCGAGTGGCCATGTGCTGGTGTGAATCCAGATGCGCGTCCCTAAAGAGAGGCAAGGAAATAGCAGTGAAGTTATGATGTTGCCATGCAGCTCTGAGCCTGTTTTCCCTTCATCCCTTTCTTTCCCTTTGTGCACTCCTCAGCCTTTACCATTACAGCCACAAGTCTTCATAGGGCTTTGTTTTATCATGGGGAGGATACGGTTAATGAATGGATGATGCTTGTCCTGGTCTTCAAACCAACCTCAGCTCTGCATCCAAACTGCTGTCATGATCCAAACCTGGCTCCTTCCTCTTCTAAACTCCTCCTTGGGATGTCTTATTTCTATCCTGAGTGGCTTGAATTCATTTGGAAGCAGATAGTGCATTGAGAGATGTAATGCAAACGGATGGACGCCTTTGGCTCACTTGTGCTCATGTTTGGCAAAGCAGAGGAGTCTGAAAGCATCCTTTTGATGGCAGATGGTTGGCAAGTGGTCTGTGCTTCCCATCCCTTCCCAGGGCAAAAGGCTGGGTGTCTATGGAGCAGGGAGCACCTTTGGGAATGCAGAAAGCACAGGGAAGCAGTGCCAATGTGTGAGATCACTGTGTAGTTGGATGTCCTTGGTCCATGAGCACCTTCTGGAGCTTCTAACACTGTAAGTGAGCAGTAGGGCTGCAGAAGGCAGCTTCATCCTAGCATTGGGAATGAAGAATTCAAACTCCATACCTAACCTCTAGAATTCCCATATCTGTGTCTCTGGAAGTGCAGGCAAATGTCTGTTCTGTTGTGCTGTATTGAACAGGGAGTTTTCTCTGAGCCCAAACTCTAGTGTAATTGCAAGCGAACAGCCAAGTTTCTAAACCCTGTGGGACAATCACCTTGGTTTATCCAGACTCTTTGGGGTGGTTTTGGGTTGCTCTCTGCAGCTTGTCAATGGGCTCCCATCTGTGTGGTTCCAGGCTTTGTGTGTCTGACACAGGCAGGGAGCACACACACAACCAAGAAAGGCTTCTGGGAGTGCATCAGGCCAAGGTATTTCTGCCATTTAAAGGGGTTCCATTGCTTTCAGTGACAAAAAAGGGTCTGTTTGGGTGTTTTGTGAGTCCTCTTCTTACTGACTGTGCTTGAGAAGAAGAGCAGACTGGGTCTGTGCTGGTGGTCAATGTATAGGGATACAGATTCACAAGCTGGAACACTTGGGATCAAGAAACCCTCTTGGATATCTGGAGGGTTTAACTAATATCTATATATTATAGATAGATATATCTATAATATAGAGAGCTTTATTATATCTATGTATTATAGATTATCTAGATATTAGTTATTAATATTAATATATAGATAATCTATAATATAGAGTTAGTTATCTAGATATTATATAGATAAAATTAATATCTATATAATTAATATCTATATAGCTAATACCTAGTATCTATTAATTGTACTAATAGCTCAAAGAAGCTTGACTTGGAATAGAGCAACCCTCACTTGTCTAACTGCTGACCCTGCCAAAACAGCCTGATTCTGCTATTAAATAGTGCTGCATCCCTATGAGAGAGCCGTGTGTCTGATGGAAGCAGCCATGCCCTGCAGCTGAGTGCTTTGGGCATCTCCTTTGTGCTTTCTTTCACTAGCCAGCATGGGGAGGACACACTCCAATGGATGCTGCTACTGTGCAGGCCAGTTGTGCTGCCCAGATTGGAGCTGCAGCGCTGACGCAAGCTTTGAGAGGAGGAAATGGGAAGGAAATGGGGGTTCATCAATGCCCTTTGTGTTTAGCATGACCTGGAGGGCTCATGGGATAAATGACCCTGGTTCTCTCTCTGCTTTTCATCCCTCAAAGGCCTTGGGATGGGGGTGGGTCTGTGAACTGAGCCTTTGTAGGTCCCTGATGGGGTTGGGGTGTGGGAATGGGGCTGTGGAAAGAAGGGAGCTTTTGAGCCTTGGGCCAAGTGGCCAAACCACAGCTTCATCTGCTGCCTTCTGTAGTGCACAAAGGCCCTTCAGGTCCTGCTGCTGGCGTGGAAGGCAGAAGCCATGTGCCAGCTCCTTTGGGATAAGAGGCATTGCGGTTGAATGGGATGGGAATTGCGCAGCCAGTTCTCATTTCCAACCAGTGAGATGTAAACTCTGCCAGGCTCTGAAGCCTCTAAATACCATGGGGTGCTGCTCATCGGTTCCCTGTAATGCAGGTGGATGGTTCTACCTCCAAGACCTTGTTGTGGGGATGTAGCAGGATCCCGATGCAGATATTCACACCTCAAGCCTGTTTGCTGGTCTTCTGTTGGCTTTGTTTTGCTGTTCATGTGGGATGATGGCAGTGCTGTGGGTGCTGCCTCTGGTGGTGTTGCCACTGATTTGGCTCTAACTGGGAATCACCTCAACGCCAGACAGGGCATAAACTGCATTGACAAATTCCTCCTTAGCAGCTGGGATGAAGGAAATGGGAATGTGGCCATCTATCAGGATAGTGTTTGAGGGAGAACACATGGCATGAGGTGACTGTGGCTGGGGGTGTTGCTGTCTAATCATAAGCAGTGCTAATAAGGGTAGGTCCGGAGGAGGAGCACACGGTGCTGTGCTAGCACAGTGCTGTTCATGTTTCTAGGGGCTCTTCAAGGCTTAAAACAGAGATCTCATTGCCAAGTCCCAGCTTGGCCTCATCTTGTTCATAGAACCAGGTGTGTGCACAAGCAGGTTAAGCACTGGCTGGTCAATGGGCTGTGCTAGAGTACACAGCAGCAGCATTGGAACTTGATGATCTTTAAGGTCCCTTCTAACTCTAATCATTCCATGATCCTATGGTCTTGTGGAGCTGGGGCTGGGTACCCAATACCACCCTGATACCTCATCTTTCACTGCTATGCGGGCAGAAAGGCAGCAGGAATAGGGGATAATAACGCTACAGAGATCCCCTGTGTGGTCCAGCTCTTCCTTCCATTTACCCCCATGCTCATTCCACTGTAGCATTTCTAATTCCCTGCTCCATGGAATGGCTTTTCTTACCTGGAACGCTGCTTACAGCACCTGAGGTCTCCTGCATCTCGCTGTCATGGTTGCTTTGGCAACAAAGCGAGAGATGCTGGTGTTAAAGCCTGAGAGATGTGCCCAGGTTTCCAGATCTCTCTGATAAAGCTCATCCACCCAGCACAGGAACTGCTGCTGAGTGTGGTTAAGATGCAATTAATCTGCCTGTCACAGGTCACTGTGGCCTTCTGAGGAAGGAGAAAGGGCTTTGGTTGAGGAGGCTTGGAGCAGGCTGATAAAGGCATCCAGATTCCCTTGAGCCCTGAGGGCATCACTGAAGAGGGGAAAGCATTAACCCTTCCAGAACAGTTCAGAGGGTTTGCAAATAGGCAATATGTTGGTTTGGGTGATGGTTTTCCTCTTTTAAGTGATTACATGATAATGAGAACCCTTCTGCATAGAAAACTGCTCCCTGTAAAGCAGAGTGAGGTCAGAGCCTCATCCAATGGAGAAGGTAAAGAATGTAGGAAGTGGAAGGGATGGCAAAGGTGGAGTTATCCATCTCCTTTGCATGAGGTTATCTGGGAAGCAGAGCGGGCTGGGTGCTTGTGAGGTACAGAGTCAGTCCTTGGCCAAGCAGCACCCATCCCTTCCCTGCTGCGGAGGTGATGGACAGGTGGCATCTGAGCACCAGCGCTGGGTTTCCATTCCCTCATCCTTTGCGGTGGCGTCTCCTTTCCTCCCTCAGGAGGAACGACGAGGTGACACACATCAAGATCCAGAACACGGGGGATTACTACGACCTGTACGGAGGGGAGAAGTTCGCCACCCTCGCCGAGCTGGTGCAGTACTACACGGAGCAGCACGGGCTGCTGCGGGAGAAGAACAGCAACGTCATCGAGCTGAAGTACCCCCTCAACTGCCAGGACCCCACCTCGGAGAGGTACAGCACCTTCTAGGAGCCTCTCCGTACCGGCCTTGGGCTTGGACAAGAGCATAAAGGGTGTCTTGGGATGTGATGCTGCTTTGGCGACCCAAAAGGTGCTCATGCAGGCATGGCCAGGAGCTGGCTGGATAACAGCAAGGCCCAGGAGCTAATGTTAATATCATCATGTGCCAGTAAGCCTTCTCTAGCTTTTCATCAACTGGGAATGTAGAACCATAGAATCGTTTGGGTTAGAATGATCTCCAAAGCTCATCTAGTCCAGCCTTCCTTATTAGATGATCTTAAGGTCTTTTCCAACCCTAACTATTCTAGCAGCCTTCCAGTATCTGAAGGGGGCCTATAGGGATGCTGGGGATGGACTCTTCATTAGGGACTGTAGTGATAGGACAAGGGGTAATGGGTTAAAACTGAAACAGGGGAAGTTTAGATTGGATATAAGGAGGAAATTCTTTCCTGTGAGGGTGGTGAGGCACTGGAATGGGTTGCCCAGGGAGGTTGTGAATGCTCCATCCCTGGCAGTGTTCAAGGCCAGGCTGGACAGAGCCTTGGGTGAGATGGTTTAGTGTGAGGTGTCCCTGCCCATGGCAGGGGGTTGGAACTGGATGAGCTTATGGTCCTTTCCAACCCAAACTATTCTATGATTCTATGAGCAGTGACATCTTTGACTTGATCAGGTTGCTCAGAGCCCTGTGTGGAAAGGGTTTTTCACGTGTATCCTTCAGGATAGCTTTGGTTTGAAAAGAGAGACCTTGCGAGTGACTTTGCTGCAGATCACTAACCCTAACCCTAAGCCTTCCCCATCCCATCTCACTGTAGCCACTGTTCATCCCGGTAGCACCACTCTGTTGCTTTGCAGGGATGGGGATGGATGATGGGGGATGTTCCCACCAGCCTCCCTTGCTCTGGGATGCTCCAGTGACCCCTATTTTCCTCCCCCCCCCCCCATTTCCCCCGCTGCCCCATGCACTGACACAGCGGTTGAAGAGGGGAATCCCTCGTGATGCTAAAGCAGGCTCCCAGCTGTCGGTGCAGGCTGGTCTCAGTTCCCAAACCAGAGCGGAGGCGCTCCCCTCCGCTCCATCATGTGAGGCAATGGGAAGTCCCTCAGCTCCCGTGCTCCCAAGGGAGGTTTCTTTGCTCATTCCCAGCCCCTGGTGTGAGGAGCACGTTACAGAACCTCTGGTAAAGTGGAAACCCCCCTTTAACTGGGTTTCCCCCTCTTCTCCTGCCAAGGAAAGTCGGCCTTGGCATGGAAGCTCCAGAAGGATTCCTGCTCCAGACCACACATCTGGTGCCATCAAGAGGAAGGGAAGGGAAAGGGGCCAAGTCCTTTAAATATATGGAATGACGACAGTGTTGGAATATAGCAGGACACGTCAGGGTGGCCTGTTTCCAGCCCTGGGTGTGAATGGCAGCAGTGCTGTAAGCAGGCACTGATGTACTTCAGCGGAGGTGAAGTATAACTGCACGACTCATGCAGCACCATGATCCCAATGCCTTCCCAAGCCTGCAAGAAGGAATCTTGCTCTTTAGAGGTCGTCCCAGCCAGCTTTGTACTGCCTGCCTATGCAGAATGCTGACTCGGGACTCGAAGGCATCAAAGCATCACTGACTGCTGTTCCATGAGCTTCATCCCTTGGGACAAGGCTGCCCAGACGTGACGTGGTCCCATCACATGGACCTGGGAAGGTTATTTTGAGCCTCTCTCAATTCCTGGCAGCTTGGCTGCTGGGCCAGGAGCCAGCACCTTCGGAATGGGACCTGTGGCATCTGCCAGAGCCACTGCTGAGTGCTGGGGATTGAAGCTCTGCTTCGCTCCAAGCTGTTCTTTGTGATGGTCCCTGAGCCATGGACGGCTGCTGTGTAGGTGAGATGTGCTGCACAGCTCACCTGGCACAGCCAGAGCATAGAGCTGGTACAACATCTATAGCTATATGTATTATAGAATCATAGAATCATAGAATAGTTATGGTTGGAAAGGATCACAAGGTCATCCAGTTCCAACCCCCTGCCATGGGCAGGGACACCTCACACTAAACCATGGCACCCAAGGCTCTGTCCAGCCTGGCCTTGAACACTGCCAGGGATGGAGCATTCACAACCTCCCTGGGCAACCCATTCCAGTGCCTCACCACCCCCACAGGAAAGAATTTCCTCCTTATATCCAATCTAAACTTCCCCTGTTTCAGTTTTAACCCATTACCCCTTGCCCTGTCACTACACTCCCTAATGAAGAGTCCATCCCCAGCATCCCTACTCCCATTAGGAGTATGGCCAGCAGGTGGAAGGAGGGATTCTCCTCCTCTACTTCACTCTGGGGATACCCCTCCCTCCAGTCCTGTGTCCAGCACCACAATAAGGACTTGGATATAAGGCAGAAGCTCTTCCCTGTGAGGGTGCTGAGGCGCTGGCACAGGGTGCCCAGAGAAGCTGTGGCTGCCCCATCCCTGGCAGTGCTCAAGGCCAGGTTGGACACAGGGGCTTGGAGCAAGCTGCTCCAGTGGAAGGGGTCCCTGGCCATGGCAGGGGTTGGAACTGGGTGAGCTTTAACCCAAACCAGGCCAGTGGGTTGAGCAGCCAAACTGGGAGCCTGACATGGGTTTGCTGTGGCTTCCGAGCTGACCTTGCTCTCCATCACTCTCCGTAGGTGGTACCATGGGCACCTCACAGGCAAGGAGGCAGAGAAGCTCCTGACGGAGAAGGGGAAACCAGGGAGCTTCCTGGTGCGGGAGAGCCAGAGCAAACCGGGAGACTTTGTCCTCTCAGTGCTGACAAATGAGGATAAGCTGGAGACTGGGGACCGGAAACCACACGTGACCCACGTCATGATCCACTACCAGGTTGGGAATGTTCTATCCCTGTCCCTGCCATAGACACACAGATGGGATCTGAGTGTTCCCATCTCACTGTGGCCTTACCCTGCTCTCCTGCAGCCAGATGGGAAGTATGATGTAGGGGGAGGAGAGAGGTTCGACACGCTCACAGACCTGGTGGAGCACTACAAGAAGAACCCCATGGTGGAGAAATCAGGAGCTGTGGTTCATCTGAAGCAGGTAATGGCTGCTCCAGCACATGTCTGTGGGCTCTTGCTTGCCCATGCTCCTGGGGATCTGATCTTCGGGAGCTCCCTGCTCCCAGAACATCCCATGGGCTGCTTGCTGTGCTTGTCCAGCTTCACAATGGCTAGAGACATCCCTGGCCCTGCATCAAGAATGGATCCAATTCCTGGCTATGAGAATCCCTGGAGGCATTGGCAGGAATCTGGTCCGTTCAAAGGGAAATTTACCTGTCTTTGTGCCACTGAAAGTGGTTTCTGTTCTGTCTCCATCTCTTTCAGCCCTTCAACGCCACGCGCATCAACGCAGCTAACATTGAGAACAGAGTGAAGGAGCTGAACAAGATGGCAGACCACAGTGAGAAGGCCAAGCAAGGGTTCTGGGAGGAGTTTGAGGTACCAGGTGCTCCTGTGCTCTGTCCCTTTTGTGTCTGTGGGTGAAGAGCATCCTAGTTGCATGGGAATGTCCTGGTTTCCCAGCACTGAAGTCCTGCCACGACTCCCTCTGCTCTTTCCCGCATTAGGAAGCCAAGCAGCTCATCCAAAGAGCCCTTTCTTTGCCTCTGACTCCCCTTGTCTGCCCAAACCCACCTTGTTCTGTTGTGCTCTGCCCCACAGATGCTGCAGCAGCAAGAGTGCAAGCTCCTCTACCCCAGGAAGGAGGGACAGCGACCGGAGAACAAGGCTAAGAACCGCTACAAGAACATCCTGCCCTGTAAGGAGGCACTGAGTAGTGGTTTGGGGGTGTTACCACAGTTTATAATGGCAAAACCTGGTCTTTTGGGGGTCAGTTAACCCTGCAGAGCTTGCTGATTGAGCTGGGAAGAGATGCACACTGTCCTAGTGGAGTGGTCCAGTTCACAGTGTTCTCCATCCCCGTTCTAACCTGGTCCTTTCCTTTTGCATGGGAAACTGGTGGGTTGCTCTCCTCTCTTTGTACTGTGAGCCCAAACATGCTTCAGAGCAGCCCCGAAGTCACAGAGCCAGAGCTTCTAAAGGCAATAGTGGGAAAACTTGGGCTCAGGTTGGTTGCAACCCTGCAGATCACTGATGCTCCACCAGGTTACTGCATTGGCAACAGCACTGGGAGCCAGACAGTGTTGAAGTGCCACTGAGTGTTATCAGAGAGCATCTTACCCCCTCTCCTGCAGTGGGTACCCATGTGGCTGCATGGCTGAGCCCTTGCTGGGCAGCAGTGGCTGCCCTGTGTGTGTGACCCTGCTGTGTCCATTGGGCCTCTCTGCAGTTGATACCACACGCGTGGCGCTCCGAGACGTGGATGAGAGTGTGCCCGGGTCGGACTACATCAATGCCAACTACATCAAGGTACTTGGGAAAGGGAAGACAACATTTGGGGTTGTCCTGGTGGTCTAAGTCCCGAGGGGATGGCCCATCAGGACCAGTGCCTTTCACTGGGTCCAAACTGTGGTTTTCTACCGCATCCCAACGGATCGCATCATTCTATCATGTCCTATTTCTATGAGTTTATATCTCCTTTCCTACACGTCTTAAAGAGGTCCTGACCCAGACTTTCTGTTATTGAACGTTCTCTCTGAGGTCAAATTATAACTATCATCTGTAAGCTAAGAGCTGCTCGAAGCTGTGATTCCAGCAGCGCTGCTCTGGCACTTAACCACCAACCTTTGGGAAACCTTATTCCAGCCGCATCCGCCTGCAAGTGCATTAAAGCAGTTCTCATTCCTCACTCCAGCATCATTGGCTTCATTGTGCCTCCTCTCCTTTGCTCCTCAGAGCATCCCTGAGGACGGAAGGAACTCGGAGCACTGCAAGATCTATATAGCCACCCAGGGCTGCCTGCAGACAACAGTGAACGACTTCTGGACCATGGTGTACCAAGAGAACAGTCACGTCATTGTAATGACAACCAAGGAGGTGGAGCGGGGCAGGGTGAGCGCTTGCAGGGTGCTGTCACCAAGTTACCTGGTACTAACAGTGTTGAGTTGTCTCTGGTTAGCTTGCGTTCAATTTATCCTCTCTCTTGTGATGTTGCTTTAGCTCTTCTTCATGAAGGAAATATACCACGGCCCCATAAGTACTAATGGGGTGTCCTCATGACTTGCTTCAAGTGGGTAGGGGTTTATTCCTATGTCTTCAGGGCAATTGCAGGTTGCAGAGACAGAAAGCATCGTGCTTGTTCCAGCAAGCTGGAGAGCAAGGAGCAGGGCTGTAAGCTGCTTGGAGCATCAAAGTAATTATACAAGCTGAGTACCACCTGTATGCATTTCACCAGGAGTGGGTTGGTAGAGGCCAAGGAATACAGTGCAATTCCATGCAGAGCCATTTACAAGCACTGCCTTCTGTAGTTCCTTCTGGTTGGCACTGGTGGCTTTGCTTTGGAATGAGAGGGAGGCTGTGATTGCAGCAGCCTGGTGCAGAGGTGAGAGATGGCTCCACTCACAAACCACCTCTTGTCTTGGCACAGTCATGGCAAAGAGGGATGTGCTGGAGGACAGGAGGGCTATGGGCAGACCTGCAGCCCCTTGGGATGGAGGTTTGGCTCAGGAGTTAGGCAATGACCAGACCAACAGCTCAGTGCTGAGTGTTAAGTCTTTACCCTTGCCAAAGCAATACCTGAGGCTGGGGCTAACTAAGGAGAGGGATTCCCCTCGGAATCATGTTCTTCCTATAGGAACAGCCCTTTCTGGTACAAAGGAAATCAGTGTATGTGTGATCTCCTTTAAACCACTGCACTGGGGCTCCCCACCATTGGAATGCAGCAGCATCCCTGAGCAAGGTGCTTGGGGCTGCACCCTCCATCTCCCCATCCACTAACGGTGTGACCTGGTGCTGGTGCAGAACAAGTGCTTCCGTTACTGGCCGGACAAGGGCTGCACCAAGGAGTACGGCTGCATCTGCGTGCGGAACGTGAGCGAGCGGGAGGCCCAGGGCTATTACCTGCGGGAGCTGGAGATCCTCAGGACCGACAGGGTGAGTCCTGCTGCTGCCTCTCACTGGGCACCCATGGGGAGGGAGATGGGGTTCTGCTGTTTGCTTGCTGGGTGTTTGTATTGGTCCCGTTGCCGGGCCACACTGCCCAGCTTTGATAGAGAAAGGATGGAGAGATGTGATAGGAGGGTTTATGGACGTGGTGGATGTCTGTTCCCTGCAGGATGAGCGCCCGAGGCTGGTGAAGCACTATCAGTACTTCAGCTGGCCAGACCATGGCGTGCCCAATGAGCCTGGAGGGGTTCTGAGCTTTCTGGACCAAGTGAATCGGGCACAGCGAAGCATTCCGGACACGGGGCCGATCATAGTGCACTGCAGGTATGGAGCAGGGGGCTGGCAGTGGGGATGGGTGATAAACACCTGCCTCTTCTTCTGCTGGGCCTATCATAGAACCATGGGATGGTTTGGGTTGGAAGGGACCTTAAAGCTCCTCCAGTTCCACCCCCTCCCAAAGGCAGGGATACCTTCCATTGATTTTATTCTTCTCCCTCTCCAGTGCTGGAATAGGACGCACAGGCACCATCATAGTGATAGATATTCTGGTGGATATTATTCACAGGCAAGGTATGTCTTCCTTATGGCTATCTCGTGGCTTTCACTGTTTGCCTTGCTCTGGCTGGTCATGGGTTATCCCTGCTCTTGGGGATACAGGACAGTGGGTTTGACTTGTCTGGGAGACAGTGGGCATAGGCTTAGCCTGAATGCATCATGAGAAGGGCTTTTCTGTGATGCCCATCTCCCTGTGGGAGAGGAAACGGAGCTCTATCATAACAAAACAGCAACCCTCTCCAAATGGGTGTGCACATGGACAGCACTGTAGCAGGGGTAGCTTTCAGCAGCACACACAGGGGAGTCTTCCCATTGGCATCAATGGGGCCAGGATTTCAGGGTCTCTTGAACCACCCCCTTTATTGAGGGCAGAGGGAAAGAGGCTGTAACTCCAGTAGCCCATTTAGAAATGAGGCCTCTGGACTCTCCTGTGTGGAAGGGCTGTCACCTTCTCCTGAAAGCCTAGAGATGTTATGGAGCTCTCTGTGGTATCTCTGTGCGTGGTCCAGGAGCCTTGAGGCAGGTGGATGCTCTTCAGCAGTGGTACCTTCATCACTGGTTCTAATTCATAAACCAGGCAAGGGTGCTAAGTCTGCATCTGTAGGAAGCTGCTGTAGAATAGACCCAATTCCTTCCCTTCCCTTTGCTCTGAGCAAGTCCTCCCTGCCTTACCCCTCAGCCCCCACAGTCCAAGGCTAAAAAGCATCTCCAAGGCCCCGAGATGCACCAAATCCTTTTGATTTCTTTGGAAAGCTGTTCCAAGTTACCCTAAGGGAGCGGTTTTCCAATGGAATTCCCACTCCCTCAATGTGCCCTTCTCCCTCCGGAGCAGGGCTGGACTGCGACATCGACATCCCCAAAACCATCCAGATGGTGCGGAGGCAGCGCTCGGGGATGGTGCAGACGGAGGCCCAGTACAAGTTTGTTTACATGGCTGTGCAGCAGTACATTGAGGCTGAGCAGAAGAGGCTGGAGGAAGAACAGGTAAGTCCCATTCAGCTGGCTTGGGAAAGCCAGGGCAGAACTTGGCTTGCATTGAGCATCACTTGTGCCTTCTCTCTGGAGCCCAAATCCTGCCCTAAAGACATGGGAATAAGCCCATAGCCCTGCTTCCTGCTGACATATGGGATATTGTAAGGCTTTCTTCTAGCAATGGGATGCTATGGTCTTTGCTTTCTCTTTCAGAGGAATAAAAGGAAAGAACGGGACTACTTGAATATTGGCTACTCTCCCATGGAAAAGGGCAGAGGCAAGGGACAGCCCCCTTCCCCACGGACCCACACTGTGTAAGCTGAACATCTCTCTGCCAAGAGTCAGTGGAAAGAACAGCTTGAGTGAAGTATTTATCCTTTGCCAGCCTGTCTCTCCCATACCTGACACTTAACCACTTGCTGGCATCCTATGGGAGTGGTTAAAACCAACCAGATGATCCCAGCACAGTGGTGGTGGCATCTTCCTTGTGTGCTGTGCTTTGGGAAAGGAGAGGAGGAAACAGGTCCCAGCCTTTAGTGAGCAGAGCCCCATATCCTTGGCTCTGGAGAATGAGCTGAAAGCTGTGCTACTGCCACTGAGCATCTCTTACAGCAGAAGATGAGAGCAGAGGGAGGTGGATTTGCACCCATGTGCTAAGTAGCATGGGTTCCTTATATAAGCAGAGAGAAAATACCCCAGATTATGTGTTTTCCTCTTGCCCCAAGTGATGGGACAGCAGGAAGTGATGGAGAGGGGTCATAAGACGAAGGAGAGTGGGCAGGGATATGTGTCAGCTATATAAAATCAGAGCTTTTGGGCACTTTGAGTTGCAGGGTTGGTTCTGAAAGGAGCAGGGGTGGGTGTTAAAGTGGAGGCAGAAAAGCTGTTGCTGAGCTCATGCAGATTGAAAGATCCAACTGAGGAGAAGACAAAAGAGATGTCATGTGTTCTGTCGTACGAGTCCAGCTTTGGGCATCAAACTTCCTTTAGAGGTACTTGGATCTGGCCTTTAAAGCAGCCCTCTCCTTCCCTTAGATCCAGACAAGCTGGACATGTAGAAAGTAAGAGTAGGAAATACCAGGATCTGTACCCACTGATCCAACAGAAACTGCATCCATGAAAGGCTGATGCAGAGGAAGGTGCAAAGCTCCATCCCCAGGCTGTGTTTGAACCTAAAGAGGGGGTGTCCCAGCTGGAGGGAGAGGAAAACAGGGATGGAAAACAGCAGGAAGCTTGATGTCATCCTATCCACAAGGCTGGGGAGGGCCAAAGGGAGCTTGGCTGGGCCATTCCCTGCCTCGGAGCAGGGAGGCTCTTGATGTTAAGGCTTTGTTTCTCGGCAGGGTTGATGAGGAGTCAGCATCCGTCTATGAGAACCTGAACATCAAAAGCCCAAAGGTCTCAGGGCTGAGTAACACGGGGCGATAGAGGAGCCGGTGGGAGCTGCGTGGAGGCTGTGCAGGTAGGAATGCTTGCCCTGCTTAACCCAGGGTCACCACGGCCTGTTCACATCGTGCAGCTCTCCATGGCTCTGCCTGCACGGAGCAAGGGAGCTGGGCTGGGATGGAGATGGATGGAGCCTGAAGATGTGGCTGTGGCCAGATGGGGGAACAGGGGGAATGGGGTCAGGAGATCTCAGCAGGGAAGCACATTGACATCACCAGTGAGGGGGGAGAGCTGTTGCTGGGCTGTCCGACACGCACAACAGGACTGTGCTAGCAGGAGAGACCTGGCTCTGTCACCCATCCCTGCACTCTCCTCCCAGCTGCAGCCCATCCCACCCTTCTCCCTTCCTTTGGAACGCAGGTTTTACAGCGTTTACATCCACCCTTTCCAAGTCCTGCGACTGCAGATGGTTTCTTTTGCCTTCCCAAGCACCTTGGATTGAGTGAGGAAGCAAGAAGCTGAGTAAGAAGCAAGCAGAACCTGCACCTACGAATGTGCCTTGACTTAACTGATGAGAAGGACCTTGTCCTGTTCTCTCCTGGAGCAGGAGGTTGAGGTTTCTATGGAAGTGCCTCTGGACATTCATTAGGCATCAAGGCTCAGTTTTAATTACGTGGGGTTTAATTTAAGATCCTTGTTTTTTACACACATTGTTCAAGGGAATGGAAAGGGCTGTTTGCTTCGGAGCTTCCCCAGGGCTGCCCATTCAGGGCATTAGTAACACGTTAGTACACTGTCATGTTTTCATTAGGTCAATCATTTCTAAGCTTAGAAGTGTTCTTAGGCTAAATCCTGGGGTAACTTTGCTGCCTGTGAGAAAGGGAGAGAAGCAGAGAGCGCTGCACAGACCTCTGTGCATTCTCCTTCTCACACTTCCTTTTGGCTGTACCACTTGTAGATGTCTATGCAACCCTGCCAAAGCACACCGAGCAGTCCCTGCTGCTGCCATAGCACAGTGATTGCACGTGTGTGTGTGCCTGAGAGCCCACAGACTGCTCTGCCCATGGGTTTTATAGCAGAGCTGAGAGGCAGAGGTGAGCATCCCCATCCTTAGGGGGGTCTGAATGTGAAACCCACCTGGCTGAAGGGTGCTGAGGCAGCTGTGGCTGCGGGCTGTGCTGTTAGCCACCCCTAGGGAGTAACAGCCTAACCTGAGCTGAACCTGTTGAGCTGGGGCCCTCTAAGCTTGATGCAGCTCTGCATTACCTTGCTGCATGACTTCTTTCCCCCTCCCTTCAACTATATGACAAGGCAAGTGTTGTGTCTGCTGAGTAGGGGTGGTGCAGGAGTGTTTGTGACTTGACCAGTGCCATGAAGATGAGTGTGTTACTGAGTGGAGTATTCCAGCTCTTGCTGATAAGCCTTAACTTGCGACTGCCAGTGCTTCCTGCTGTTCCAGCCCTAAAGGCCAGCCAATAGTCCTGCCAAAGAACCCCTTCCCATCAGTGTCTGACCCTGTGGGGAGCTTTGGGGCTGAGTGCTGGTGCCTGAACCTCCAGAGCATGCATGGGGCTGGTGTTGATGTCCTCCTGATCTGGAGCTGGATGGACTTGCTGCATGGTTGGGGTGGTTAGTGCCTGGAGTGCCGGCTCCAAGTGTTGAAGCAAAGCACAATGACATACCTTGGCTGTATTTCCTGGCTGGTCTTTCTGCTCCCTTGCCATAGGGACAGGAGAACTGTTCCTTCTTATTGCACTTTGAATAAATGTTGAATATTCTCGAGGCTTTTTTCTTCTTTGGGAACGTTCCTGATGGTTGGTGTGGACAGCAGGCCATTCCGATGTCTCCCATCACCAAATGCTACTGTTGAGGGCCCTGTTTTCACTTCACTTCTGTTGACTCCTCCTTTTGACTATGCACGAGTGAGAGGTTCAGCTGCCTGTGAGCTAAACCTTCAACCTTGGTTTCCAAGTACATGGGGAGAAGGGGAAGTGCAAAGGGACATCCGTAAGGATGCTGTGACAAAGTACTAGGAACACTGTTCTGTGAGAACATCTCTCTGGCCCATTCACCATCACAACAATAGATTTTGGGAGGCTGGAGATGCTATTTCCCTGTCCCCTGCCTGGGATTTGAATGGTACAAAGATGTAGTGACAAAGCGTTTCATCTCTTTAGTGTCTGTTTGCTGGGCTTGGTATCAAATGCACCTGGGGAAACTGGAAGTGCCTTAAGCCTTGAGTCCCTTTTTGCCAAGAACACGCATGAATCAGTGCTGGGAAGCATCCTTCCAGTGGCAATGGACAGCAGGATCCAAGTGAGAATCCCTGTCAAGGCTAGTAATGCCTTTGGCAGAAGGTGTGATGGTGCCTGGGGTCGTTCCTGCAGGCACAGATCAAACCAGCCTGGAGCTGAACAGCAAAGGTGGTGCAGATCCAGCTTCCCACAGAGGGTTCGCATAGCAACAGACTTGAGCTGCTGCAGCCTTTTCTGCTCCAAATTAGGTTTCCAGGGAAGGGAGACTGGAAGCATCTTTCCCCCAGCTGGGAAGAAGCAGAACATGAGCAGTCTTTGCACCTTCCCATCTTCCAGGTCGCATCAGGTAAGCACAGAGGGATGTGGAACCTGGGATAACACCATGGAGATGGTAAGGGTGGATGTACAGGGTAAAGCTGGGTTGTACAACACTGGCACAGGCATGCTGTGTAGCTCCATGATCTGGGAATGCTGCGGGACTCAGGACTACTACGTGCCCACCTCCAACTGCAAGTGAGAAGGGAAATGTGGAGTAATTGCCACAAATGGACACCTTGCATTGTATAAAACATAATTTAATACATACATGTATGGTACTTGCATACAATACTGGCTTACATCCATGTGCTGGAGTAGAAAACATATAATTGTAAGTTGCCTTCATCATGAAGACCTTAATCGCTGTCAGATCACTGCATTAAATACAAATAGAGTGTAAGCAACTGGCCTGTGTCTTAATACTGACACATGTGATGATTAGGAGGGTAAAGCTGCTGTCATTTTGGCAGCAGTTTGCCTGTGAAAAGCATGAATGAAGTTTGCTGATGAATTAACTTCAGGGAGGGTTATACTGCTATGTATAGTGCCTAAAACATCCCCCTCTATGTTCAGAGTTGCTTTCCAAGTAGGAATGAGGGATTTTTAAGCATCTTCTTAAGGGAAAAGCGAGTAGAATGGGCTCTCTGTTCCGTTCCCAAGCTCATCGGGATGATAACACATCACATCACACGAGGTGATGGGTAGCGGTGGCAGATCCATGTTTGGTCAGCAGGAGGCAGCATTGACACCTCCAACATGGAATGACACAAGGGAAATGTTCCAAGCTGTGGCATGAGGATGATTTTCATCTGTTTCTATGCCTTTGACATGTCTTTACCCTCCCAATCCCAGCTCCTCTTAGGAATAATCATGTCGATCCTTCAGTTTGCAGAAATAGCCCTTTATTCCCTGAGGGAGTTAGAGGAATTGCACCCACTGTCATCTGGTACCCAGTCGGGATGGCACACAGGGCAAACAGCCCCAGAAGACTTCAGAGCTCTGCTTTCCATAGGGATTTTGGCAGCAGGATGCTGCAGCAGCTCCTTGGGCATTCCTGGGCTGGAGACAGCTTGGCAGGGATGTATTTCAGTAGAGCTCTGAACCTAGGAGCGTGGGGAGAGGGCCATGAGGTCTTCCAGGACCAAGGAATGCAGTTGGAGCAGCAGCCCTGTTCCCACCTCCACGATGTGCTGCTAGATGGGAGCAAGGAGCTGCTTTGCTGCTACTGGAAAGGGAGCTGTGTCACGGGTGTCGCTGCCGTGGTGTGTTTAGGGGGAAGATACTCGGGTCTGCTCATGGCAACAGTCCTTGTGAAGCACCGCAGGTTCCCTGTCTTCAGGGCACACTGGACTGGCCACAGAATGATGCAGAAGAGGATGATGATCAAGGCAGAGAGGAGGACTATGCGCTTCCAGTCATCACACATGTCACAGCGGGACAGCCTCCCAGCTAACCCTGTTGGGGGGGCCTCCGAGCTTTCTGGCTTGCTCATGGCAACATCGATGGAGATACAGGAGTCTGGATCCTCGGGGTCGTCGGATGACTGACGGCAGCACAGCTTGGTCCCTTCCATCCACAGCACCTTCTCCTGCTGGAGCTCGGGAGGCAGTGTGGCAAGGAGCTCCTTACTGGTTTCCAATGCTGGGGCACCTTCCAGAGGGATGCTGGTCAACTGCCTGCAGAAGGGGCAGGGGAGCTGGTCCTCTGGTTGGTTTGGGGGCAGCCCCGTGCTCAGACGGGCCACGCATTCCAGGCAGAAAACATGGGAGCATTGGAGCAGTTTGGGTGTCTTGAAGGTGTTGTCATAGGTGTTGAAGCAAATGGAACACTCAACAGGAGAGGTTGGCTTTGGAGAGGTTGGGTTCGGAGAGCCAGGCTTGTCGGTTGGGGATCTCGCCTTCCTCTTGCCATCTCCTGGGGAGGTGACAACAATGGGGCTGATGGGGATGGGGATTTCATTTGGAGAGGCAGGGACCGGGCTGGTGGGAGACTCCGCCGTGTTGGAATGCCATAGGTGTGTGAAGCACGACATGATGGTGCCCGGGGAAATAAAGAGAGCCCTGGGAGACTCTAGGAGAGAAGAAAACCACAGCCTCCATTTTAACCAATGTGAAGACACCCATCACCACTTAACCCCTTAAAAGAAACCAAGAGCAAGTTTGTGACTTCCAATGCATCCTGAGCCTGGAATAGATCCCTTCTAGAGGTGAGAACGACGCAGGAAGCCTGGTCAAAGCTGACACCGAAGGTGAAGTTAAACATCCTGCACAGAAGCAAGCAACCAGCAGAGCTCCACCAGCCAGCCAAAGCCTTTCCACCAGAACCACCATGGCACGAGAGATGGGAGCAGTCTTTCCCCGTCCATGCCTCCCTCTGGGCAGATAAAAACACAACAAGCACCTACCCTGGGTGGTGCTCCCCGATACCTGCGCAGGGAGGAGAGCAGAAGACTCCATGAGGTCAAGTAGGGACCTCGCTATGGCAGCCTATTAGGCTGGGAGGCACTCAGATATTATGGTGGCAGCATGGGCAAAGCCTAAGAGACAGATAACACTATTCAGTTGTGGAGGTAGCCAGGGGGTTGAACCTCTTCTCTCTGGTGTGCTCATAGAGGTTGTGCCTTGGAGCACGGCTCTAGGAGGTGAGGCATCACTGTGATGCTGCCTGGCTCTGTGGATTGAGTGGGATTGAGCTCCCCCATCTCACAGGAGAACCCAAGGGAAGGGAGGACACAGTTTAGTGCATCCTCAGCCACAAGCAGCATGAAGAACATCGATACCTGTCACCATGACACAGCAGGAAAAGCAATGACCCTGGTGCGGGAATAAGGGGAATTCTCCCCTATTTCCTTGTTGCTCCGGTTTCCCTCAGGAAACACGGCTCTCCCCTGTGCTCAGCCCCTGGGCAGTGCCAACACAGCCCTTGAGAGCTGCCACGTGCACTCTGCATTGTCATGGCACGCAAGCAGGAGCCATGGGTAGCTGATGCAGCACTTCAAGCTATCCTAAACCAGACTCCTGCAGGCATTCTGGGCCTCAGATAGGCGACTGCTCTGCTATTGAGCACTGCTGCCTGAACAGAGCTCGGCTGCAGGGAACTCCCAGCCCGATGCTGTGTGCCTGGGGAACATTCCTGCAGGCTGCATCACCCAACTGGCTGGGCTTGATTCTTCCTGTTGGGAGATTTAAGCCATGACAAGCCAAAAAGGTTCCGATTGCTGCTGTAATTATAGGGCTCCATTACCCGGCAGTGGCTCACCAGTATGGGCTAGAGCCACCACATCCCTGCATTAAAGGCTAATTTAAGGTATCAGAAGGACTGGGTATTCCTTATATTGCACAAAAAAAGTCTCCATTATTTAGGAATGAAGCATTATCCCATCACAGCTTGCACTGCCAGAGCTGAAACCAACTCTAAGAACATTCCTTCTTCTCTTATTCTAAATGCAGCCATTCTTAGGAAGCCTCAAGTTAAATTCCCACTCACAGATGCACCCTTTAGCGTGTGGCAATGTTTCTTTAATGCAGTTTTTCTCTGACTAAAGATCACTGTGCATGTTTTAGCACTATCTGGCAGATGCTGATGAATTCCGAATCCAACTGGCACAGAAATAAGGGAAACCCCTGAGTTTTGTGGGTGTTTTTTTCCCCACTAAATCTTCTGGTTTGCAGAACTCCATCCCCTACACCCAGCCCTTTGCAGTGCCTCAGCTGGGAGGGCTTGTGCAAAATAAGCAGCACCACCAGTGGCAGAAGGTAACCTCAGACAGAGCCTTTGCTTATGAAACTGTAATGTCATAGCCTATCTGATAAAGCTGCTCTGTGGGGGGGGTTTACTGGGTTGTAATCTGACAGCTGTAGCAACAGCCTTATCGTGACAGTAAAGCTCGAGGAAGTTTACTCACAATATTTGCTTTGAAATGAAGATACCAGCTCTTGTTCACTATTTCCTTCTGTTAAAGGTGATCGGGACACTGTAGATGCTTTTTAGTTCTAATCAATTTAGAGTCTACTTGATCAGGGATGATGCAGGTAGGCTTAAACTGGGAAGAGATGAAGAGTATAGAGCCAAGGCTCGCTAAAGCTGGAGGGTCCCAAGCACAAACTGGTTTGGGTTGGAACAGGACCTTAAAGCTCCTCTACTTCCAATCCCCTTCCACTAGAGCAGGTTGCTCCAAGCCCCATCCAACCCGGCCTTGAACACTGCC